CAGGAACAGAAAGTCTGTGCCAGGCCGCCTGGGAACAAGCGACGTTCTCCAGGTCCATGGTTCTCTCCTCTGTGCACTGAGGACAGCCATGCCGCCTGCAACCTGGCCATTTCCTGTGTCATAGTTCCCTTTGCTCCCCATGTTGACAGCAAAAATGGTTATAAATTCCTTGTAAAAACAGGTTTTTTGTTTATAATGATAACTTAGGCCTTATTTAGGAGATAGAAGTATAGCCTTTCATCGGTACCTTTTTCAAATTAATTTTTTACTAATCTCTCTGGAGCTGGGTTGTGTTTATAACCAATACCCTTTGCACAGTACCTGGCTCTTTCTCTCTCAGCTTACTGTAATATGTGCATTTCAAGATAGTTTGTACAGATATTCCAGAAATCTAGGAAAGCCACGTGAATTACTTAACTAAGCATGGAAAGACAATATTGAACCTCTACTGCTAGAGGCAAGCTTCCTGGAAAATGACATTTTAATTACACCATGTTTTTTTACATTTTAAAAAATAATTATTCTGATCTCAAATTAGGACAAAACCTAACAAATCTCTGGGAGAGTGGATTGAGCAGGGTCAGTAAAATTTAGGGACTGCAGATGGGCTAAGAGGTGGTGAGCCTGGAAGAGATCCCAGAAACGATGGGTGTTATAACAATTGTGCAAAATGATAATGCGGAGCAGACTGCAAAATAGGCGATACTGGGATTATTAGACCTGTTTGACATATGTGTTTGTAATGATTTCACGGTGCCCAGTGTTCTGGATATGCATCTTTAATTTAAGATGATTAACTTCTTGGTGAAGACAAACATGGAGGGAGGAACCCAGGTATGGCATGTCTTTCTCTGAATTCCCTTTGCATGCAATAAAGAGAAGATCTCAAAAGATTTATTAATTTGTAAACTCTGATTTAAGGGAATTTTGAACAGCATGTGAAAGAAAAATAATGAACAAATGTTTTCAAGTGGGAGAAATCTGTCCCTGCCATATGTTTCACTGAGTCATCCCTTCTGAAGGAGGAGATCTTGCAATTGTTTCAATTTTTCCTGCTGCTAATCCTTTTTATTTAATAGCAACATCCCTGTAAACTCAACACTTGATCCTAGAATACGTTAATGCCACGTGCTGGATATCGACCTATTCGCTCTAATACCAACACGTTTTTCTTCAGGCACAGGTTAGATTCTCCCTAGACGTCTCACCACGAAGCAAAGGCCAGACCTGGCCATGGGTTTCCACTTGCCAGCTGGATGATGTGATTCTCTGCACTCACCAGAATGTTATAGAAACCTCAAAACCCACAATTTATTTCTCTTTAATTTACACGTGGACCCTCCGCATCCCGGCAGAGCCCGGTGCTGACAGTGCTGTCTGGTTGTGTTGCAGGTGTGGCTGTGCGGCGGCAGCATGGAAGTCCTGCCCTGCTCCAGGGTGGCTCACATCGAGCGCAAGAAGAAGCCCTACAACAACAACATCGGTTTCTACACCAAGCGCAATGCCCTGCGGGTGGCTGAGGTGTGGATGGATGACTACAAATCGCACGTCTACATCGCATGGAACCTGCCACTGGAGGTACGGCCATTGTACCCAATCCTAAGCCCTTTATTTGCTTAAAAACTTGAATTATAGAGCATTTAGTGCCCCTGGGTGAAGAAGAGCGTTAAATACCCTGGATCACCTCTCCAGCTGTGGAAGTCAGCAGAGCTCCCTCAGCTTTGATGGAGATGCTGCAAAACCTGCAGACTTTGGAGGAATTCCTATGGTTCGCATCAGCCTTTTTATTTGCATTTCTAAAAATTAAACCTGTATGGTAGTGTTTATCTCCCCGTCAGGTGTTTACACAACATGAGTTTATGTCATTATTACGCTGCTCCACAGATGGAGTCTGTCTGTAAAGTCGGTTGGCAGAACGTGATTAATATCAGCATCATTAGTGTCTGAGGTGTTTTCCTGCAGCTTGGGCAGGTTATGTGCAGCCCAGCGTGAGTTTCCCAGCACTGGGGAAGTTGAGGCCGTTGGCACTTAAAAACTTTGTTCAGAGGTTGATGGCTTACAGGAGCTCCCCTCCCAGCACTACTTGCAAATGCACCAAAACTACTCTCTGTAAATAGCTTTGGTGGTTATATTGGTTTCTGTTCATGAAAGGTTAGATTTTCTTAGATAGGACACATTATTTGTCGTGTAAATCCTGCTGTGTGGCAGCATGGTGCATCTTTGGAAAACTGCAAGTTCTCACCAGCAAGACAGGCTGACCTTGCCCAGGGGACATGTCCTCCACGTGGACCTCTCTGGGTGATTCCCTGCACTTCTGTGTAAAACTCTGTGGGGTCCTGGAGGACTTCATGTAGGTCTAAGGCAGCTCCTTGAGGTCTGGTTTCCATGCAGGTTATGTCTAATTATGAAACCCAAAAGCACTTCCTGCCTCCCGGCCCCAGACACTGCCTGGAGCGTGCTAGAAGCACCTGCAGCTGCACAAGTGCCCCCATCCCCTGCCTCTGGTCTTGCCAGAAGGAGAAGGAGTGGTGGGGGGAGGGAGGCAGTGATGCTCTTCAGGTGATGCAAGTCATGGATCTGGGGAGCCCTGCAGAGCCCACCGCCACTCATGCCACTTGTGGCGTACAAAGTCAAGTGCAAGGAAAAAACGTTACCTTGAGTGGCCAGACCCCGTCTGAACAGGTATTTACAGCCACCCTTTTGGTGCTAAAAATAAATGTGAAATATTCATACCTTGCCCGTGGCACCCCTGCAAAGACCTGCCATGGTTCTGATCCTGCTGTGGCAGCGTCCCTGGCTGGCAGCGCTGTGCCTCAGGGCATTTTGGCAAACATGAAAACATGAGGAGCTGCTGCTGCTGCTGCTTTCTGAGGAAGGGTTACACCTGGGGAGAGTTGGTGGCATTTGGAGCCATGGCATTCGCACCTGGGTTGTCATCTCAGGGGTGGTGGGGAGTCCTGGACTAGTTCGTTGTTGAGAAATAAATTAATAGAGATGGAAAGAAATGCTGTTTATCCAGGGAGCTATAGGAGGGCGCTGATGGTGATGGGCACCGCTCCAAGCATTCAGAGAGGCAGAGCTGCCTGCAGGACTGAGGGATTTCAGCTTTCTTGACAATATTATAGTTTGCAAGATCCAAACACCCACAGGCAGGGATCTTAAACTGTGGCAGGTCCAGCCCCAATACCTGGCCTGATTCCTTTTTTTGTGTGAGGTCCTGTGCTCCTGCTCAGGATCAGCTTTGGAGCATGGCAAAAAGGGATTAAAATTCAGTGTGAGGTGACAGATCCTGTACAGCTCGGAAAACACAGCATCACACGAATCAGCACTGGGGATGGGTCTGGGGAAACGCATCTGGGTTACCCTAAAAATGATTTGGGATTTTCATATAGGTCGTATCAGTAAAATTGAGGTTTAATTTTAGAGAAGCCTTGTTTGACAGGTGGTATTGTACAGCGAGTTATGGATATTAATATGAATATGGAATTATTTTGTGATGCCACTATGTTCAAAACCAAGCCAAACCCCTTGCACTGAATATTTCAGGTGCCGACTGGTTTGTGGTCCTGCTTTGCTCTGTGTCCCATCTCACCCACTCAGATTTCAGCCTGTCTTACCTGTCTACACTGAGTCATCTTTATTTTTACCTATGAGCTACCAGTCATGCATCAAAATGGTGTCTTCTCTAAAGCAGAGTGAATAATTCATTAGGAGATCATTACAAGCTTTGTAATGGAAAATTGCCTTCCCAGCTGTACTTAATGATCACTGCAAAAGACAAGAGCAGGAGCTAAAATAGAGTAGAAACCCAGACACCTGCAGGAAGGAGTAAAAAGGGCTGCACTGTCCTTTGGTTTCCATTACCTGGCTGCTGTGTTAGTCCCCAGATTCTGTAATGGAAAAAAAGGTGAAAGGGGGCACAGCTCTCTTCGGCCCCTGCTCCCAGCTCTGTAAGATTATTCCTCCAGGGGCAGATATCATAGCTTTGTCTGCTTTTAAATCATCTCAAGCAGTGGGGTTCCTCTGTCTCCAGGGAGACTGTTTCACTGTATAATTGTCCAAATTGTCAAGAAGTTTTTCTGAGGTTCAGCCTCAACTTCTCCAATAATTTTTATCCTTTATTCTTAGCTATCTGCCTCTATTATATGTGAATCGTGAACCTTTCTTTTTTTTCCTTCTTTTCTTCCCCTCCCCCTCCCCACTTTATTTTATAGCTTTTAACTGTACTGTTCTCAGCGTTGCCTCTCAGTAGGGTCACACACCCTTGCTGTGTCAGGAGAAGGGTGTTGGTGCCCAATGCACAGTCAGGGATTTGCATTTCCAGGATTCAGCATGTGACCATCTTTTAAATCCTGACGTACATTTGCTCTTAAGCTCTTCTGGAAGTCTGTCTGGAAGTCAGTACCTAAAAGGGAAGTGAGATCTTTTAAAAATACTTTGTTGTTGTGCCCATTCACAGATTCAGTCCTTCTCAGGTGGATCCAAAGCTCAGGGCAATCAGTGGGAAAATTCACCTCTGTTCTACTGCACTTCTCATCTTTCCTTCAAAACCTTTTCTTCTCAATTTGGGTTCTATTTTCTAAAATACCTTCCAGGACCAAAAAGTGTCCAGCATCAGTCTGGCAGCCAATGCAAGGATGCCTTCAAAACCTCTCAGAGAAGTATGTGTCTCCTCCTCACCGTGGCTCTGAAACCCAAGTCTTCCTTCTGACTTGTGTGGGGATGATTTCAGCCTTGGACACATGTGCCAAAATTCCCTGGCATGGACTTACTCATCCATTGGCAGTTTCCAGACAGTTTGGAAGTTATATCAATCATCAGTGAAATATACTTATTTTTAATCTTTTTTAAGAGTAACCATTTGGTGACGTGCTGTGTTTTTATTTTTCAGAATCCAGGTATTGACATTGGGGATGTTTCTGAGAGAAAAGCGCTAAGGAAGAGCTTGAAGTGTAAAAATTTCCAGTGGTACTTGGACCACGTTTATCCGGAAATGAGAAGATACAACAACACCGTCGCTTATGGCGAGGTAATTAAGGCTGAGCAGTTCCTTAGAGCAGACTGGAAATATTTACAGCTGGTGAGTCTCTGATGAGAAATAGCCTCAAAGGAGACGAATGTGTATCAAAACCTACTATTTGTGTATATTTATATAAATTTGTATAAATCTGTTCACAGTTTCTTATAAAAACCTATTTTGGGATTTATTTCTGATCTTGGATACCATATACAGTAAAATATTTTAATGTCTTATTTACTGAATTGACAGAAAGTTATCTGTATTACCCATTGACTCCATGGATTAAGAAGCTGGATGTGTGTTTTTAATACATAGTCATCTTATAAAACCCTCTGACTTAAACTCAGCCTAATTCTGTACAAGGTCTCTGTAGGGTACATAGTGTTGTCACAACAGCTTAAGGTTGAGATAAAGTAAGGAGACTTAAATCAATCTCTGCTGGCTTTGAGACTGTACTGGGAATATAAAACCAGGCATTTATGGGAACTAATCACACCCTGTTGCAATAGGTCTCCTGGAATGGTGGCACTTTGAGAAGTCGTCTTGAAGCACAGCTCAAGCACCTCAGATGGACATTAATTTAAAAAAAAAATATTTATTGTCTACGTTCAATGCCTTCAACCTAAATTTCACCCAAAAGTAGTATTTTTAAAGGCACTGTGGCAGTTGTCCTACATGGAGGAAGGCCAGCTCTGCATTAACAGAGCAGGGGTTCAGCACCTGTTTGACTTTGCAGCATGAACTTCCACGCCCCCTCTGTAGTCTGTCCTTCAGCATTGAAGTCTGTCCTTCAGCATTGGCAGCTGGTTTTGCCATCTCGGTGTCTCCTCCTGCATCCCCACGACCGTTCCAAGGGGCTGCTTGTTCCAGCTGGACTTTTTTTTCCCCTGCCTTGTTGAGCGCTTTGAGATTTCGATGAAATACAAGCGGGTCTTGCATTGATTTCAGGCCCCTGGCAACATGCTGATGGCGGTCTAAAAATATGTTTGTTACCACCACACATGACCAAATACAAAGAAAACTATGTTCAAGGAAGTTGGCTCCTTTGAATGGTGATTATTATATAAAAGCAGTCATCATTAGGCCCTGTATTTAAAGGAAACATATGGTGCACTAAACCTTTCTCTGCCTGATTATGCCCAGTGATATAGCACCGTACATTCTTTCTATAGCAAGAGAGGCTAGATAAATTGCTGCACATCAGTTTATTGCTTATCTCCAAAGAGACAGGGCCATATAACTCTCCACTTTTTATTTCTTACAGCTTCGAAACAACAAGGCAAAAGACGTTTGCCTTGACCAGGGCCCGCAGGAGAACCACACTGCGATATTGTACCCGTGCCATGGCTGGGGGCCGCAGGTGAGGAGTTACAGTGCTGAGACTGTGCGGGATGTGCACCTTCTCTGTTGGCTTCACTCCTAAGTGTATAAAGACCAGCTTCTTGTTAAAAATATCTCAGCTGTAAAAGTACATTTTCCCAGCTACTCTTAAGAGGAGCTATTTTCTGGATTACCATAATCATGCCAGAGCTGCAAGTAAAAGCATAACTTGAAGAAATCTTCCAGATGAGGGTAAATAATGCTGAAAGCAAATAGCCTATGAGCAGAGTGGAGTGTACTCAAGCAGAGCATTTTAAGATGTTTCCTTTCTCTTTCACCCTCCAGAGTAAAAACGTAGTGACTGGGTGGAGAAAACTAGCAGTGTTTTTAAATGGAACGATAATTAGCCATTTCGGCTTGGCTGGGACTTACCATAGTGTTAGTTTTCTGGCATTCCTTTTGCCACTCCAAAAGTTTTGGAGCAAACAAAAAGCTTCTTATCCTAATTTTAAGCTTAATCTAGATCAAAAGTCATCAATCCAAGGTTGACTCTAGATCTCATATCTTTTAGAGGATTAGTGGATGTGTCAAATACTGAAATTTAGTGATGATTAACTAACTCAGCCTCATCTGTAGCTTTATCTCTTACCATGTTTTAAGAAGAAAGCAGCATGGGACTGCCACAGAGTTGGAACAAAACGAGGTTCAACACCAGCTCTGTTGCTGCTGCCAGACCTTAAACTGGACTTTCAGGATCTGCATCTCCAGGGATAATTTACCCAGTTCCCCACTAACTTTTCCTGTCTGTTTTCCTCTTATCTTTGCCTACATCCTCACTTCAGTATTTTCCCTAAATCCTGTGATTGCCTTTGTGTTTTTCTTTCTGTATGCCTGGTGGTCATCATCTCATCGTGCACTTCCTGTAGTGCAATGTCCTTCTTCCCTACAATCTTTAAGGAGAATATACAACAAAGTTTCCTTTTAGGTCTGGAAGGAGAATAACCATCTTATGAGGCATGGGGTTTTCAAGAATTATGATGTGATTTTTTTAGGTTTCCTTCAATTACCAAAATCAGGCCTGACCTCCCTGAAGCCGCAGACTAGCAGCCCTTTTTCTTCTGGCATTTTAGCTCTATCCAGTGAGGCCTTGTTTATCATCAGGATTAGATGGATGTATCTGGCTTCAACCTCCTGCTTTTGTTCGTGTTTCCCATGTGAATGCTGTGGCTATCTGTACTGGAAATTTCACTGAGGAAGGATTGCAGATGATGGGCTCTGCCGTCAGTGTGCCTGCACGGTGTGTAGTGCTGATGGGTGGAAACAGGGATAAACTCCTCTGTGACAAGGCTGTTTCTTGCGTTGCTTTTCATTTCTCTTTGTTGAAAAGTCTGTTCTCATCACCAGATGCAGAAATACTTCCCTGCTACCTTCTTGGGATAAGCCACATATGTGCTGAAGGGGTTGCATCTACTGATTTCCTTATAAATTGAGGCAAAATTGTACCTAAAAGCTGTCTGAATGCCAGGTTGAAAGCTAGGCCGAATCCACCAGCCACATTCCCTCCAAAGAAGGCAAGATGTGCAGGAGAAGACCCGTGGCACCTCGCACAGTGGGGTAGGTCCTGCCTGTTGGGCTCCATTGCCAAGAGGACGAATCTTACACTGGAAGCTCAAAGTTGCTTTGGGTGAGGTTAGGTGAGACAATCCCATCCCAGCTGTGCCCAGATGTTGAGTTAGGTAAGGTGTCTACAGAGATTTCTTTTCATTTGCAGGGCAACAATCTGTCTTTTGTGTTTTGGGGAAGACCTACCCTCTCATTGCATGTATCCTGGTCACTGTGCTGTGTGGGCTGCATTCTCCCTTACCCAGTAAGGCAGCCCTGGTTTGTCATTCCACACTTTTTCGTCTTGGCATCACAACGTTTATTGCTCTTGAGTTTATTACTCAAGGCATTGGCCATGCCTTCCAACAGCTTATTTTATCACCACCCCAAACCAGAGCTATATGTGCTGACAGGGGACACAGGGTTTAGGCTGAGAACTGTTGGGTGGATGAGACCACGTTTCTAAATTATGGTGAGCTCCTAAGGGCTGTTGAATTCACTGCATGACAGCAAACTGCTGTGATAAAGCCCCACAGATGACACAGCAAGGTACCATCAAAGGACTGTATCAAACTTTCATCTCAACCCAGATGTGCATAAATTACATAGAAATGCTCAACCCCAGTGGTTGAATTCCTGTCCCCAAAAGCTCTGTAAGCCTGCCCTCCACCTGTGCTGCAAGGTCCCTGGGATCTCCATGCAGGTGTGGGGAGGGGACACTTCACTTCTGATTCCTTCAAAATGTTACAGAAGAAAGCTAAGCATTGCAGTTGCATTCATTAAGACCGAAACTGTGAAATATGACATAATAAAGACAATTAAGTGCCTGCAGGTATTTGCGTAGTAAAACCCTGCCTGTGAAAATTTCTCCCATGAATCAGAAAGGAGAGCAGAGGAAGAAAAGTGTGGCCTGTGTGTGTCTCCCAGATAGTAGGGTTCCTCAACATATTTGGGGTAATTTATTTATTGAGCAGATTTCCATTTTAAGTATCAGAGCTTTCCATTTTGAACAGAGGCTGCTGTGACCAGTTCACTGGCTCCAGCTGTGCTCTGGGCCATGATGGATTGTAGCACGTCTTGGATTTGGGTGTCCTTTTTTGAATACCCCAATATTGAATACCCACGTGAATACCAGAGATGTGTAAACTCAGTTTTGAAAGCAGAACTTTGTTTAATCCATTGGACATTACAGATTATGTCAGTCTGTCTCCTCACAGTGCTTGTGCTGCCCATGTGTGGAAGAGGGGGTCTGTACAAGGCAAGGAGACGCCTCAACTGCTGCTTTTCAGGTGGGAAACATGTATTCGAGTTCACAGCAAAATCTTGTAGCCATTCCTTAGGGTCTGGGAACATGCGATCCCATTCCTGGTAGCTTTCCTGAGATAAGATCTGATATTATTTTTGCCACATCTTAATAACTAGCTCACCAAATCTGGCTGGAAATCTGCAGCATTAATCAGGGCATAGCAAATCGGGGTCATTTTTCTGTTCTGTCACAGGCTTCAAATAGGAGTTAGATCATCTTTTCTTACTCTCCACCTGCAAAATGAGCCTCAAGGTGTGAGGGTGAGTTGAAGATTGAGTTGGGAGTGTGGAGCTGCAGGACAAGTATCTGGAGGTCTAAGAAGCTCGAAGAGGCTCATTTTCAGCTACAGAAATGTATGGTTCAAGTGATGGGATTGCAGAAGGAGCCCGTTCTCACAATATGGTCAGCCTCGGCTTTCCAGGCTCACCAGAACCTGGTGAGCCTGGTGGTAATCCCAAAGCTCGTCTGAGCCTGACCCGAAAATTTCAGGGAACTGGCTGTGGGAGTCCTTGAGGGTAGAGAGAAAACTCACTTTGGCTTATCCTTGCCTTTAAACAACTTTTGGTCAACTGTAGCTGATGGAGTCACTGCTAAATATGACCTAGCAGTTGCTTAAACGCATACTTTTTTTTTTTCTTAAATGGCACAAACTGCCTTTTGGACTTTGGGGATGGAAACTGAAACCTCTAAATGCATTATAGTATGAGAAACTGCATTAGCCTGACATTGTCTGCTAACTCTGGGCTTTAAGATGAATGGCTGAAAGCGGTTTATTTATATTTTCCTCAGCTATTTTTGTGATTAGACTTAACCATGTTTTCTTTTCCTACCTGATGTTCTGAAGTCAAACGTTGCAGCACTGTTGGCTCCCTTCAGCTCGCCTGTCACGCAAGCTCAGCGCAGGGTTTTTTCCTTCTTGGTCTTCCACCTTCACGTTGTCCTCTCCCTCTCCAGCTGAGAACCAGTTCTTGGCAGTTCTGTTGTTTTGTGATACGTGTAATTAGTTTAACTCCTTTTTAGAAGTATTTATCAGTGAGCACAGAAGCTTTGAAATGAGCCTTTTGCAGAAGCACGGGTGATGCACAAAAAGAAATTGGACTTTTGCTACTACTGTTTAATTAATGGGCTGTGCATTGTAATTTATTGCTGGGAATACAATTATAAGTCATGTAAACACTTCATTCAAATAACTCGCTTGTTTTATATGTATATATAAAAAACACAAGGAGTTGCAATTCCTTTTGAGTTGTTCAGCATCTGAAAGCACTCACAGCGGTGCCTGTGCTCAGTGTTCGTGTGGTCTCCTAAAATCTCTACTTCTCTCCTTGGTCCTGTGGCCCATCATGTACATGTTTGAATGGTTTCACAGCTCAGGAGCAGGTTCCTCGGCTGCAGCCAGCAAGGGAAAGGCGTAGGCTCCCTGCTGGCATTTTAACCATGCGAGGCCAGCAGTGCTGCAGGTCCTGTTCCCTGCTGCACCAGGGAATGTTGGGGTTTTAGTGGAAGTCCTTGCTTTTCCTACATCCACCCCCACTGTATATCTGTAGCTGAGCAGCCCAACACAGAGAAAGCAGGGGGAAATTTGTCCCGTTGAAAGCTGGGCAGCTTCTGTTGTATCTTGAGTTCATGCTGCTGCCTGCAAAGCGGCGCGAGCTCAGCGTGCAGCATTCAGATGGGCGCAGGTAGTTGTGGTGGATCCTGTACCCAGCACCAAACGCAGGTGGGATCTTGGCTTTTGCTCATAGCACCTCTGTTGTGGTGTCTGTCACTGGGGGAATTTTTGGTTTTTTTCTTTTGTTTTCCCTTTAGCTTTCCATTCACCCTGCTTTTACTCACTTCCAGGTCAAATCATTATCAGATTTCATGATGAAGTATCCTCTTATCCTGTAATTATATTGAGCCTGCTCATGGATTTTTTTTCTTCTTGATGGCTTCATCTTTTAAGCAATACATCATGAAAACACCTTGCCATAATGATGTATTACACTAATAATACAGTAATACCTCACTGGAGTGACAGAACTATGGTGATATATTAAGGTGATAGAAAGCACTATAATGCTATAAAACTTAAGATAATGTTCACCTAGCAGAGCATTTCATTTAATTACAGGATAAAATATGTTTTGCCCATTTAAGCATCAGAAACTGGGGACAAAACCATCAATACTGAGATCATCCCGGAGACAGCAGTGTCAAGGGTGACAAAACAGCACATCAGATTAAATTGTGTTAAAAAGAAAATACTGCACGCTTTACTTATGGTTGCTAATTGATGATCTGCTCGGTGCAGAAAGGAAGCTAAACAACCCTAAATTATTTTCCAATAGAGTCAATGAAGGTCATCAAGGCTTTTATTTCCCAGGTGCTAAGACGTCTAATTAACTTTCTCCCATTGCTGAGATGCAGCCAGCCAGAAACAATAATCAAAGATGGATTGGTGGTGTGAGTTTGCCAGCAGGAGACCAGCCCACGTGTAGCCGTGCACCCACTGCTCTCCAGCATCAGTGGGCGTGCGGGTTTCACCATGGCACAGCAGCCCCCCAAAGTGGTACCTGAAGGCAGGGGATTTGACTGGCGGCCGTTGTACCTGGAGGGGTGTTTGTCAGAGGCTGTGGGTATGGATGCGTGGTTCTCTCTGGGGATCTGGCTTTGGGCCATGGACATTGATTAAAGGGTTTAAGAGCTCATCAATATTAACTGCTTTTAAATGGTGACCTTCTTAATATTTTTAAACTCTTACCCTCTGGTTCTTTCTCTTGGCCCTTCCCTTTGTTTCTTGTCCTATGCTAGGCTGGGTGGTTCCTTCAGGTGTTTCCTCAGGCTGGAACCTCCATGTTCCTCTTTTTCCTGCTGGATTGGCCATGTCTCTGTTCCTTCACCTGCTGTCTGGCTTAGGCTGCTGGCTGGAGGCTGCCAAACCTGCTCAGCAGGCCATGAGATGTAGGACAGATCACTACAAAGGACAGATGTATTTTGGGGAGCAGAATTTAAACTCAGATGACTTTGGATGGCTGACTTGCCTTTCCACAAAAGCAGGAAAACATAGTTTTGTAACATGAAATATCGGATTTAAGTAGTTATACAAGTGTGTTGTATGTTCTTGTGACCGGACTGCACTTTGGCGTAACTTCCTTCTTCGCGAATGAAATAATTTCCTTCAGAAAAGACAAACTTTTATTGTCTTTAAGCAGCATGATGACCGTGTGAGAAAATAATTGGTGGCTGCAAAGCAGCCATGGGGTCTCCATGGGGGATTCAGGCACTTGCTCACGGAGGCAACATTTTTTGGAGCAGTCAGCAATGAAAGAATTGAGAACAGGAGGGACAATCCTTAGGAAACACCTGAAAGGAGAAAACCGATGTGGTCCAACAGGAAAACATTTGGTGGAAGAGCATTCCTGGATCCTGTGAGAAGAGCTCACCTGGCTGTGCTGTGCGGATGAGGAGGATGAGGAGAGGAGCACAGTGTTGGGTGGTGCCGGTGGATGGGGTATGCTTCTGGGCAAGAGGGCAGGATTTACACAGTTACATTGCTGCGACTCGATGGTGCCCACAGGGCAGCTGATGCTGAGCCTCCGCTGCACTCGGCAGCGTGGATCAGGCATTAGGCAGTGTGCGAGATCCAGACGCGTGTTCGGGGCTTTATTTGTCTGGCTTTTATACATAGTAGGTGACACATCTAATAGATGCACTTAATGCATATTTCATAATACCTGTGTTTGGTTTTCAGCTTGTTTCATCTCCCTACAGCCCCTGCCCCGCTTCCTTCCTCAGGAAAGGTTTGATTTTTGCTCTACTTATTTTTCCCACCACATTAGGCGATAACATGTCAGAGCAGAAACATGTTGCCTTGTGGGCATCAGGCCAGCTGTCTGAAGACAAGCTGCCAAACATCATAAAAAAGAAAGTGTGTAGCACAGTAGTTATTTACATGGTAGGAAACATTTCAGAAACAGGAGAAGGAGAATAATTTGAACTGCCCATTTGGGACCTCTGGGTGATTTCTTTGTCTGTCATGGAGAAGTCTTGTCCTTTTTTTGTCTTTTCCTTTATATACATCTTTCTTTTTGGAAGACAAGCAGCCTCATCCTCTGTGTTGGTGCTCAGATACAAATTCAGATGAGTTGCGTGGTTAAAAACATGCTGTCAGACTGAGAGCACTGTCTCGCACGAGGCTTGGCTCATCGAAACATCCAACTGCTGAAACCAAATAAATGTGGATTGGAGCCTTCAGCTGGGCTGGAAACGCCCTGGGGGGTCATTGCCACTGCAGCAGTTTGGAGGGGAATTACTGTAAAGGTAAAAAGGCAAGTACTGCTCTGCACTATCTTGCAAAGGGCTTTGGGGACAGAGGAGCAGATCCTGCACCAGGGCACAGGATGGGTCAGCTTCACCCCACGCCAGCATCACCTGTGTGGTGTGTGCTGCTGCAGCTGAATCCGCCTGGGGTCAGCACCTTTGGCAAGTGCACCTGGGTGAGGTGTAAAGTAGCAGAGATCTTGCTTCTTGCTTCGAGACACAAAATGTTGGCTAAAAGCGTAACTTCTAGCAAAAAACACCAGGCACCCTTCCGGAGAGGATAGGCAGCGCCAGGGCTGGCTGGAGGATTTGGCACACCCAGACCAGAAGCCAGCATCACAACAGGACAGCAAAACTAGCTCCCAGCACCGTGTAACTGCATCTGCTGGGACTCGCTGGAGTCGGACTCTGTTACATTGTTTTAACTTTATTTTCAGTGTTTAATTATTCTAACCCAGATAGCCTGGGCTCCCAGTGTGATTTACGGTCTCTTTTTAAGCATCTGGATCACAAATACGCTCAGTTAATTCATGTGCTGAATACTCCTTATTTGTCTGCTAGATAATGGATTGATTCATAATTTAAATAAGCAGCTGTGTATATCTTTCCCCTGAACTACAAAAGGCAGGCCACTGTCATTCCTCTCTTTTCACTCCTGAATTTCAGTATGTTTAGGGAAATATTTTGGTGGAGGAGCCCTTTGTGTGCAGCCCTGCCATGGCAGCAGGGCTGTCTCGGTGCTGTCTTGGTGCCAGCTCCCTGCCCAGCACCCTCAGAGCCATTGACGCTGCCCCATGCTTCCGTCCCGCGTCGCCTTGGCATTTACATGTTGGCCCCCTTTGGCTGACGCTGCTGCTGTTGGAGTTGCTGGAGGGCTGTGCCAGACACACCAGCAGCATTGTTTGCGGGCCAAAGCAAGGCTGTTGTGCCAAGCATGGGAGAAGCCACAGTCTGGGCCAACGTGGCCAGCCAAGCCAGCTGGCTCCAGCCGTAAACCAGGGGAAATCATCCGTTGCCCCAGCCTGCAGAGCGTTTGGGCCCAAAGGAGGCTGGAGGAGTCTGCCCCATCACGGGTTTAAGGCTCAGAGTTATTCATATCCCTCCCCTGTGCCCTACGTGCTGATGTAGGTCTGCAAAAAAAAACAACAAACCCAAACCAAGAAGAATAAAAGACTGGAGAGAGTTGTGTTTTTTTCCTCTTGTCAGTTCTACTTTCTCTCTGCACAGGCTTTTTTCCTGGGGCTCTGCAAACTTGTCCTTTCCACCATCGCTTTTTAATGATGCCCCTAAGATACTGATTTTTTTTTCTCTCTCCTTCCCTGTCCCACAGCTTGCACGCTACACCAAGGAGGGCTTCCTTCATCTTGGTGCCCTCGGGACCACGACTCTTCTGCCCGATACCCGCTGCCTGGTGGATAACGTGAAAAGCCGCTTCCCGCAGCTCCTCGATTGCGATAAGGTCAAGAGCAGTCTCCATAAACGCTGGAATTTCATACAGGTTTGTATGAAACAGAGATGCTGCTTCTCTGCTTCCCAAACTGTGGGCTGTGGCACATTGTCTTTGGCATGGGGCAGTGTGGGACAAAGACAAAATGGTCCTGTGCACCAGCAGATGCTAGGTCCTAGGGCAGAGGGAAAAAGTTAGGAGGGATCAGGAGCAGGGACAGCAATTTAGGACAATTTCCAGGAGAAATTTCCCTTTCAGGTACCCGCAGGTGTATGTAACCTACCCTGTGGATGGCTTTCAGATGTCTTTGTTTCTTGCAGTTAATCTATGCTGAAAACACAGTACTTTTGTCCCAAAGCAGAGAGTAAGTACTGTACACTGTACAGAAGGGTCGCAGTTTCCTAGCACAGGAGCGCAGCCGTGCTATTTAAAGGTGACAGATACCCTTTGGTTGCTGATGTGTTAGGAATACGTGGTGTCGGTGATAAAGGTTGCTCATTCAGTTCACAGTGATTATTTTAGGAATTATTTTATAGTTTGAATTGCATTACCACCCAAATAAGTGCTGTGCACTTCCCAGCGATGCACGAGGACACAGCTGCACTCGTGGGCAGCGCACAGTCCTGCCTTGCTTCACAGGCAGCCCCACATCTTTAATTTTTAAAATATTTTTCCCCATGTCCTTTAATTTTAGAATGGTGCCATCCTGAACAAGGGCACGGGACGATGCTTGGAAGTGGAGAACAGGGGAATGGCCGGCATCGATCTGATTCTTCGCAGCTGCACAGGACAAAGGTGGACAATTAAAAATTTCATCAAGTAAAGGGTAGAAGAGTCAGAGCAGTTTGACTCAAAACACGGCTGACTTGGACTGATCCCACTGGACTCCTTTGGAAAGGATGAAATCAAAACAGAGCTTTATTCATGTTATTAGGAGAGGACATGGGGGAAATGGGCATTTGTGTCTTTTTATTTTTATTGTATATTAGTCTCCCACAGCTGATACTAGCTGTGTGAAATTGGGTCAGAACTGCTATTTTCTTCTGGCGAGTACTCTAAAAGGTACCACTTATTTCTGCTGGAATGACAGTAATAAGCTCATGCAGTCTTGTGAGCATTTTACTGACAGGGAATTGTTGCTTTCCCAGACGACTCCAAGCTTTCCCAAAGGGCCAGGTATGTTTGCACCATGATCGGAGTCGAGAGACCCTGGATGTACCTGCTTGGCAAGCAGGAAGACTTACATGCATCTGAGAGGAAAAGGTTTCCAAGCCTTAAAATGAGCCGAGTTTGAAAGATGTGGTGTTTCACTAGGTCTTCTCACTCCTTTTTCCTTATTGCCCCTGCATTCAGCAGCCCCCTTCTTGAGTCTGTGACAGGCAAAGTTCACCCTGGTAGCTCCCATGGATCTTTCAAACCCTTAATCACAGATGTCATTAAGCAAAATCCTATTGAATAAAACCACCGATCTCCCATTGCCCCTTGTCCATTGCCACCCACTGCTTCACAAGCCAGCTCCGTGCAGCACCAGTCCCTCCCATGGACACCCCAAATGGGTTCCCCTTGGAAAAATCCCTGGATGTCTGCCTGCCTGTGTGGGCAGTTGCCTGCATTTTTGGGTGTCTGTCAGGCTGATGCATGGTGAGGCCTGTGAGATGCTGGGGAGCTGCAGATCCACCTCGCCCTCACATTGGGGCCATTGGTCTGTCCCCTTGGAAACTCACCTTTACCCTTTTCTTGCTCTTTTCTTCTTGTGGAAGTGAGGATGGATGCACTGGTGTGTGCAACAGGCTGAGAGCAGGTAACATGAGAGAAGGTCCCCCTCGGGCATCCTTCCCATGGGGGCTACAGGGTTTGTTTTTAAGGCATCTATGCTCTGAACAAAGACCTCAGCAATGGTGGTCTCCATAACTTGGTAGTGGTGTTCTCTTCCCAAGGTTCAAGCAGACTTACTCTGCCTGGTCAGTGTGTGATGGTGCTGAGGGTGTGTGTCGCTGCAGACCTTCCTGAGCTGTGGTGAGGTAAGGAAGGGAGAGGGAGGGCAAGAGAGCAATAAATGGCAGTTTGGCTGAAATTTTGGGCCTTGGAGTCACTTGAGGACTGTGAGGCTGTCTCACCTGGTTTTTTTGGCTCACAGTGCTCTTGGCTACCAAATCTGCACAGCCACTGTGGGAGGCGGTTGGTTTGGGGTCCTGATGTCTGGCTGCCTGGAAAAGGGAAATGTGGTCTTGCAAGCTTGTTTTACGTAGATGCTAGACTCATGGGTTGATACAGGCTTCATTTGGTGGAGAGGAGAAGCCAGCCCATCTCCTGTCCTTCTCACAGAATACTCTTTCTGGTTGCCCTCTGGCTAGGGTGCACTAAAATATGTTAATATATGAGATGTACATGTAAATATGTTTCCCTAAGACGGGATGTGCACAAAGTTGTTTGCTGCAGAACGCTCATGCCTGTCTTCCATTTGCATCAGGATGAAGCTACCTGGATATTTAATGAGTTTAATTTTCAGTACCATGCAGCAGGTTTATAACTGATGTTTTAGTAATTTATTGAACAGAAGCAGATATATTTCATTGTTCCTTCTACAGCAATGAGTGTCACATAGGACTGATTGTTCATTTAGGCTTGACAAGACTCCCTCATCCATTGCGGTTGTCCCTGATTTTTTTCCCCTTGCCTTCCTTAATGAAGTAAAACCTCTTAGTTGTCCTGAATTGCCAAGTAGGGAGTCAATGTAGAATTTTGCTCTCTTATTTGCTGTTGCATCATCCCTTGTGTAATAAATTTTAGCACTTACAAAACCAACATGATCACAATGTCTTTAGATGCATGATACATTTCCCCTTGCATTTGTTGCTGCCTTCTCAGAAAAGCAATTTCCTGACGAATTGGACTCCAGGAAGGTCTGGGGGATTTGAGACTTCTCAACTAATGGTCAAAATGGTGAAATGCCATTTAATTGAGCAATCATTTTGCTGTCAGTCATCAGTGGAAGCCACATATTGTTTAGCGTTGGGAAAAGCCTGCATGTTTCAGGATAAACAACCGAAAAGCCTTTTGATGTCGCCTGTGCTATTATTCACGGTTCCCAGTTCGGCTCTCGTGCTGCCAGTGCCCAGGGCACCAGCAGATGGGCTTTGTCAGATTTAATTGTGGTGGTATAAGGTGTCACTGCCTCCAGCCTTCCATCTGCTTCAGCTGCTGGAGGTTTCTGTCCCCATCACAGGCAGCAGAAATGAATGTGTGGCTGCACCTCGACTACCGCAATCAGCAGGACATGCCTCAGCCACCAGGCAGGAGGGACTCTCTGTAATGCACCGGGTTGTCAGCTGAAGTCACGCTGGGACGTGTCCCCATGGCTCTGCTCAGGAGCAGCAGCCCCTGGCAGGAGCAGGGTGCACCACTGAGCATCTCCAGTGATGCACCTGAGCTCGGGAGCTGGCCCTCAGCGACAGGAGACGACCTGGTGATGGGAATCCCATTGGTGATGGGCTCTTCGACCCTTTAAAAAATTAAGGTTCTGTTACGCATTTCCTTCATGCTCCATGAAGAAACCAAATGCCTGAATATCCAAAAGGAAGGGGACGGTGGAAACAAACACTTTGCTCCACGACCCTCAGGTGGGGCAGAAACCCTGCTGAGGTGGTTGCCCGTTTTCACTGGTGTACATAAAATGCTTTCAAATGACTGAAAAGAAGCAGCATGAGTAAAATCAGGATTAAAAATGAGAATTTAGTCTGCCGTGTCCGTGTAACTGAAGTTCTGTTCTGGTTTGTGACATGCAGAGATGATTGCTGAGGCAACGACCTGAGGGCTGCACCCTCCTAAACCGTAGAAATCTGTCATAGAAATCTGGATCTAAGTGTTGCATCTTGCGCTTATCTCTAATAATATGTTAATTGCTTTAAAAAGTGATATCGAAGTGGTTCTTATTAAATATATGGTTTGAGCCTTGCCTCTTGAGTGATTTTGAAAAGATGCATTGCTGATGAGATACAGAGGCAGTCATTCTTCTCTGTTACTTATTTAATAGGAAAGTGCTGCTATTTTAATGAACTTCCATTTTAAAAAGAAATTGAAATGAAGGAGAAATCAAGAGAGATGGCCAATGCAGATTAACCTCCCATTTCATCCATCCATCCATGCCGGCTGCCACTCCCCAAGATAATGCAGTTACAGTCAAGAAGCTGAAAAGAGACGTTACTTGGTAAAAAAGCGTCACGTGCAAATGCGTTCCTGTACCCAGGCTGGGTGTTTCTGAGTGTAACCTTGGTGCTCTCAGGCCCACTTTCTCACATCCATATTGTTCTGAAGACCAGTCTGGGGTGTTGTGGTGTCCTGGTCAGGACAGCGAGGCGCGAGCAGGTATATGGCCATGCAGGAGGGAAGTGTATCTGTGGGGGCACTGTATCGTAAGGGTGCCATTGCAGTTGTGATGGGAGCAGCAGCTGAGGACACAGCAGACTGTCAGCGCGAGCCCAGGTAAGTGTAGGCTCCAACCTTGGGCCTGTCTGTGCAGAGCCTGGTCATAGAATGTCCCCTTTGAACCTGCAGCTCTCTTGAGGATGAGGCAGGAGTGATGGAAGAGAACTTGTGCTGTTGTATGCATTTTACACGCTCAGGGCTTTCCAAGGGGAAAAGTCCAGGTTGGAGAGGGCACAGTCCAGTGGGCTTTATGGCAGATTTAAGTCAACAGCATTGATGCCCTCAGCAGGACCTTTGTGCTGCCCAGAGCAGAGAGCCAACCTTTCAGAGGGTTCCCTCTGAGCCCTCAAATGAAGTTAAAACTGCTGCCCTTCCAAAGTCAAAAGTTTAACTCGTGAACTCCCAATAGAAAAGCCTCTCTGCTTGATCACTGAGCAATTTGGGCACTCATCCACTGCTAATGGAGACAGATTTAAGTGCTCCACTATGCAGTGTGAAATTAGGCATTTTGAAGTCTCCACAGCTCTCCTTTGCAGATGAGAAGCTGTCTTTCTTTGGGCTGGCGAGGGGGAAAAGTGTGTGTGACCATTGGGAATCTCAGCTGGATTTCCAGGGACATTGGGATGAAGTATTAAGGGCCCTTCCCTGTCACTGATGAACCAAAGTGATCTGTTGATGGTCCTTTAAAGGACCATCAAGAAAATTTGGGCCAGCTTTAAGGACATAAACAACCCTTCGACCGCATCAGCCTGGTGGTGGAAAGGTGAGGGGCTGAGCTCTTCTCATTTTGCCTGAAAGGCCAAGGTTGTAGGTGAGCTGGCCCTGTGTGTTGGGAGAAGGTGAGTCCTGGAATCACCTTTCTTAAAAATTCCCCAAATTATTAATAGCTTTAAATATTCCTCTAGGCAGGAGCCACACAACATGCTGAAGCCAGTGAAGTTGCTCAGCTTGCTCAGGTTTGCTGCTAAGTTGGAGCTGTGGAACTGGGACCTCAACTGAGCCTTTTGCTTAAAAGCAAAGTGGCAGCATCCTTCTAGCAACACGTTCAAGTGAGCAGAAATGATTGAAATCCCAGCTCAGTGGTCCCCACTTACCCAGGATGTCAAGAGGGCTAAGTGTCACATCCCACGGAAATTACTGCAATAAATACCCACAGAGTCTCGGCTGGGTGCACCAGCTGCTGCCATCCATGGCTCCTCACCCCTGGGAGGTTTCACCTGTGGGCTGGGGTAGGATTTTATAGCAGAAGAAGGGGATCAGTTCCTATTTGCAGGACTGCTAATTTGGGTTACTCATGCAAACCCCAGCTCAGAATTTGGCCCAAGTGCCTTGGAGCTGAGATACCTGCACGCTGGGTGTGCTCAAGGCAGTGCTATTTAGTAAGAAAACAACAGCCTAGGCATTAGCTCCAGGGTCTCCTAAACTGCTCAGTATTTATTTTGAAGGCATGCAGGAATCGCTGCCTAAAAGAGCCTTCACAATCCTCTGTGTCAAGTGTTGCTCCTCTGACAGAAAGCAAAATAACAAGAAGAAAGATTGTATAACCCAGAGAGCTTTCCAGAGGAGGAGTTTCTTATTTTATTCCCATCTGGTGACTCTGAGACATGATGGGTAATAGCTCTCCAAATGTCTTTCCTGGCTATTGTAATTCTAGGTTTTATTGTTATAGGCAAGTATTTCACAGTTAGGCAAGAACCCGTGCAGGAACTAATTTCTTACTGTGCTCTTCAGAAATCACAGCCGGTAAGAAAATAACAGCCGAGTGGGGCCAAGGT